GCCAAAAGTCTAAATAATTTATATACTCTTTTCTGTTCACTTCTGATTGGAAAAAGAAAATAAATAAAACAAATATAAAGTTACTAAATATAAAAGCAAATTTAACAAAAAAACTATTTCAAAAGTTAGAACTTTTGTACTAAAAAAAAGAAAACTCTTCCTAAGAATTAAACCTTTATTAACAAAAAAATTCTATAAAATGCAAACATAATGTTGAAAGAAAAAAAGACAACAATCCTTGGGCAGAAAAAACTGACAAGGCATCTTCTAAATATGTATTTATAACTTAAGAAGAAATAGAAGTAATAAGTAAAAATTAGTACCTATAGTAGTAATCCAAAATAAGAAAGACTGGTTAGAAAATATTATCCAAAGAGATAATAACTTCCAACTTTAGAAAACACATCAAATTACCTAAACAAAACAAACAATAAAATGTAAACAACAATGAAATTAGTTATATGCCTATTACTGAATATGAAATAGTCATACTATATAAAAACAGTATAGATGCAAAACTACTCAAAGTTATGCATCAGCTGCCAAACAATATACAAATATGTTAGCAAAATTAAAAAAGAGAAAATTAACCTTTAGGTTTTTTTTCTCAGAAACTAAATCAAATCAAAAAATAACAATATACTAATCATTAAAATTTCAGATCTTTGTAACTTCTTTAATAAAATTATAGCTTCTTTATATGAAGGTTTAAAAGAAGATATTGTTGCAGCTAAGCAATACTTCAAAAAAGACTTAAGATCTTATTTAGAAATTGTTTTTCTAAATCAAGATCAGTAAACATTCTATACTACTAATGTCATTAAAATCTTTAATAAAACATATTATAACTGTATTCTGCAAATATATATAAATCTTTTCTACCAATTAAAGTAAAAAATGTTTTATTAGAAACCAAAGAACACATCTTCAATTTGGGTAAAGAAAATTTCGAAAATTTTAAAAAATTGTTTCAATTAAACTCTTATTTATCAAAGATACTACATACATAACAGACCGATGAATTGTTATTTTTGATAACACTAAAGACTTAAAATTAGAACAAAAAATCTTTTTATTTATTTACATTAAACATAATAAAGTTATTACTAAATAGAAAAAGGAACCAAAAGTTTGTTACATTTGTGACCAAACAGAATATATTAAAAAAAAACTATGCACAATTTCAAAAAACAAGAAATCTAAGACTTTATTTTCAAAAATTCAAAAAAAAAGTACACAAAACAGAATGTTTATTAAAAACTCAACAAAGGCTATCTTATATACAGAAAAAAAAGAAAACCTTTTAATGCAAAAAGAAACTTAAGACATAAATATAAAAAAGACATGCTCACAAAAGCAAAAAAAAACAGAAGAAAATATATTAAATCATGATATAAATAATAAAACAGATATTTTATCTACTGAAATTCCTATTGAAAACAGTTTTAACACAGTACAAAAGTTAGTAATAAATGATATAGATTTGGAAAATGCTCAAACAAATGAGCAAAAAAAAGCAGAAGACCCAACTTTTACTTTAGTTATCTGTAAAAAAGAAAGTATAAAGATTTAAAATCTTATAAAGTAGTTAACAAATAAAATGTCTAGGATGATCCAAAGCAAAGAGCCTGTAAAAGTTTCAAAACTAAATAATTTATTTTAATTAGCTGTTACTTAATCAAAATAACTACATTAAATATTAAAAGCTTAAACAATTTAAACAAATAGGCTAGAACATTAATATTATTAAAATCTTATAAACTATACATTATTCTTTTACAAAAAAATAAATATTTTTAATACTGCAACTCAACAATTTCTAAAAGACCAATAGCTTTTTGACTCAATTTGGACAGACAGAACAGCAGTTCTAGCAGAAAACAAAAATTTAAAATTTAAAAATACTAAGAAATTACAAGAAGACAGAATAATTTTAACATATTTCACATTTAAGAAGTTTTCTTTTTATATGATGAATGTTTATACATTACCAAATACTTTAAACAAAACTGAATTCTTTAATGATTAGAATATAGACAAGAAAGAAAACATGATCAACATTATTGCAGAAAACTTAAATACAAACTTAAACTCAGAAATTAATAGAAAATAACCTTTAAGAATACTACTTAATGAAATTACAAAAAAATTTATTGATTCAGCTTCTTTCTTTAAATGGAATCTTATTTATACATTTAATCAAAATATACATAATAACCAAATAATAACTATATGACTAAACTACATCTTTATATATAAAAACTACAGTTATCTCAAATTAGAAACTAGAACAAAATTTGAAAACTTTGATCATTTTTTAGTTGAATGCATCTTAAGCTTAGAACAGAAACTCAGACATTCAACACTTTGGAGATTTGATTCAAACTTATTTAAGAACAAAGTCTTAAAAAAAAAGCTTTAGATAAAATTAAAAATGCAATTTTGTAATGAGCTAAGATATGCACAAAATTTATATCAAATCAATTATAAAAGCTTTCAAAAAACTAGAAGTCTTAAAAGACAAAATAGAAAGACTTAACAAGAAATTAGCTAACTAAAAGAAATTATATCTAAAGCTTCCAACCAGATACATTATTTTATTAGACTAGACAGACTTAACTTACAGATTCAATTAGATTTAGCTGAGCTAATATATAGATAACAATGTTGATTAAAAACAAACTAGATAGAACTAAAAAAAAATTAACTAAATACTTCTATTCATGTTTTAAGAGAAGAAGCTCATACTCAGTTCTTACAAAAATACAAATTCTTTTAATATAGAAACAATTTAATAAAAAAGAAGTACTTAACTATATCAAAGAACAATATTCTATAATATATAGCAAAGAAAAAACTAATTACAAAGTAGTAAAACAAATTACTAAAGACTTTCAAAAGTTTTTATACAAATAAATAAAAAGCTAACAGAACCTATTTTCAAAAAAGAAATTGCAACAACTATTCAAAAATTACTAAACAACAAGTCTTCAAAACTGAATAGCCTTATATATAAATTCTATAAACTTACAAAAGAACATATTACACCTATTTTAGAACAAATTTTTAACAAAGTATTAATTTCAAAAATAATGTTTTTCTTATAGTGCAAGAATCTAGTTATAGTAATATCAAAGAAGTCAAAAGAGCTACATAATATAAACAATTGAAGACCCATATCACTAGTTAACTATGATGCTAAAATTTTTATAAAAATCATTATCAACAGGCTAAACATAATTTGTAAAATAATTATACTTCAGGATTACCAAGGCTTTATCCTAAACAGACTAATTACAGACTCTGCAATAGACATTCTTACAATTCTAAGAAACCAAAAAGATTATACAAAAGAGCACTAAATGCTATTTATAGACTAGCAAAAAACTTTTAATAAAATAAGTTATAATTTTCTTTATAATTTTCTTTAACTGGTATTAGAAAACATGGGCTTTAATAAAAAATTTAAAAACCTAATAAAAAATTTATTTTTCTAACAAGAGGCATACATTTTGAACTTAAAATATATCTCAAACTTCTTTAAAATAGAAAAAGGAGTTAGACAAGAAAATTCTCTCTTTTCTTTTTTATACATATTGGCATTTAAACTACTGCTAAATATAATAAACAAAAAAGTAATAAGAATTAAAGTCAACAATCAATTTTTCAAATATGCAACATATGCAGATAATTTAACTTTAGGCATTAGCTCTTACTTTAACTAAACAACAGTACTAGACATATTTGATTATTATAAAAAAGCTTCTAATGCAAAAATTAACAAGCTCAAAACAAACCTAATACTATTTACAAACACAAAAAAGAAAAGACTTTTTTAAAAAAAATTTAATTTAAAAACTAGAAAAACAAACCCATATTACAGTTTTAGAATATAGCATCATTACTGATAATATACCAAAAAAAGGCTTATGACAAGAAGCTATAAGTAAACTTAAATTAAATCTAAAAATGCTTGCTTATAGAAACTTATCTTTAAAAAAAAAAATTATGCTAGCAAACTTACTAATTCTTTTAAAAATTTGGTATATTGTATATTTAATGCTACTAAACAAAAAGCAAATAGCAGAAATCAATAGGCTTCTTATCTATTAGATCAAAAACAACTTCAAAATGCTGCTGAAATACTCTACTTTCTAACAACTACATAAACAAGAAGACTTATAAGCACTGATAGTTGGCAACTTGCTAGAAGCTAAGCTGATTTTAGTCTGAATAAAACTAATCTCTAGTGATCTTCTGTAGACAAAAATAGAGAAAAAAAGAATCTTATTTGTACTTGCTTAAAAGAGAAACCTTTTAGTTAAAGAAGCACTTACTACACAACTAATTAAAATTACAACATGGTTCACAAATTGGAAACTTTACCTCCTAGTTTGAAAAAAAGCTAAAAGAAAGATATTTACAAAATTTAATTGGCTTTAGAACTCTACAAAACTAGAAATTGATAAGAAAAAAAAAATCAAAAATAACAATCAAACTTATAATAAAGCTTTTGAGAAAACATAATTTCAAAATTACAAACCAATTAGATCCTATAAAACAAACTTAAACCAACAATTGGATTCTTCAAAAAGCAATACTTAACAGACAAAAAGACATCTTTTAGTGACTCTTTCACAGAACTTTATTACTAGAATACAGACTTCATTATTTTGTAGCAACAGACTTAGGTGAATGCTTTTAGTATCTAGAAAATATAAAGACTATTAAACACTTTGTAATAGAATGTAAAATTAATAAAAAAATTTAGATAAAAGCTTACAAATTTCTAATAACAGGCCAAACTGAATTTATACCAAACTCATTAAAAAAAATATTTCTAAAAAATATTACAGAAAAAACAAAAACATATAGAACTATTTTATAACTATATATGCATATTATATATAAAATATAGTGTGGCTATACAGCTTTTAAATAAGAAAACATCCAATATCCAGAATAAGCAATTTTAGCTATAGTAAAAATCTTTAAGAAGATTAGTTTACTATATAACAAAAATCTTGCTAAGCCTATTTATAAGAAAATCTACAAATGCTTAGTCTAATAATTTTTTTAAAATGTAAATAATAACTTAGTAGTTATAATTAATAAAAAGAGTGCTACACATGCTTCACAATGTTATTATTTGGAATAGTTAAAAAAAAATAATTTATATAATAATAAATAATATATAAATTACTTACAAACTTTAATCTATTTATTATACTAACAACTATGTTTACAAAACTAAGCTAAACAATTGCATATATACTATAAATATTAATAAATAAAATTATAAAAAAAATAATTCAAACATAATTATTACCTATTAGAAACACAATACAAATAACAACTAATTAGCAAAATGTATAGAATGCTTATTATCATTAAAACTTGTAAAATTATTGCATACAAAAATACAATATTTAAACCAAATTAATAGTAAAAAATAACTTTATTCAAATATCAAAAACATAAAATGCTATAAAAATAACCATACTTTAAGCCAAATTCAAAACAATTATTTTTATATAATTATTTAAAAAAAAATCTATATATATATAAAATCTAGAGTTTGTGTTTTATAGCTTAGTTGCTAAGCTTCTGTTTTCTTACAAACAAGATCAACAGTTTAAGTTTGGCTAAAGATAAATGCTCTATAACCAAAAAATTAAAACTTGTAATTAGATACAAAGCCTTATAGAAGTTTAAGTAAAGGTATACATTAAATTTAAGAAATTTTTAAAAGAAAACTGATATAGCAAAGTGCAAGTACTACTATAGTGAAAAATATAAAGAATATTATTAACATTTGTAAAAAGAATTAGTCTTATCTAATAGAATTACCTTTAATATAAAAAATCTAAAATGGATGTAATATAAGACCTACTTCATTTTAGTAGAGTTTATTTCAAAAGTAAATTAGTTCTAAGGTTTGATGATCAAAAAATTAAGCTTGTTTTAATATTGCAAAAAAAACATTAAAAATCAGAGACTTCAAACAAAGAACCTACAGACAGGTTTCAAGTATAACAATTAGCAGGTAACCTATAGGCAGAACTTTTATATAGACAATAACTAAAGTTGTATACATAGTTAATTGTAGTTTCAATAATATGCAAAAATGTAATACCCTTCTTTTACATTGGTAGAACTAAAAAACACTTAATAAAAACTACAAGACCAAAGAAGTCTTTCTATAAACTGAAAAAAAATATATATATAAAAAATCTTAACCTAAACACCTTTAGTCTAAACTATTCTTTGACCTATATATTAAGAACTTATAGGAAAAAAACTAATACAAACTAATCTATACGTAACCAGAGCACCAAACAACCATTCAGTTGCAATCTAAAAAATTATCAAATTCCTTTATATACTTTAGTTTAGAATCTTGTTTGGATATTTGACATATATTTTCAATATATAGCAACTGTTCTGCTGTTTACTGCTTATTCAAAAAACTGCATTCTAGTGTTATATATAAAACACCAAGCCTTTATTTAAGAACTAACAATAACTTTGCCCACATAAATATACAGAACAAGAACTTTATACAATATTCTAAATTGAGTACACAAATTAGAATTAAAACTATTGTTGTAAACAAACAAATAATCTTCTCAACATTAAATAAATTAAGCCATTTGATGAAATACTAACTACTAACATTTCATATAACCAACTATTTACAATACTTATATTTCAACGATGCAGTTAGTTTTTATAAATATGCAAGCAATGGTAAGATAATAATTCCAGAACAGAATAAAAATCTGATAAAAATATGCAATCAACTGGAAAGCAACCTTTCAATTTATTAGTTACAATGACAAGTCTAAAACCTGAATTACATATTCAAAGAAATTTCAACTAAAGTTCTTCTAAATTAAAGTGCTATTTGATGAATTATTTACATATAAAAACTTAATCAGCATCATTCAAACACATACCTAACCCAATATGTTCACAATGCAATGCTTATACTAAAGACAATAATTACTGGCTTATATGCTCCTTCAACAGCACAACATTATAAACAAATAATAAAAAATACACTCAAATCTATATACACTAAATTACAAATTCATACTGACACTATACCTACTGCAGAATGCATTACCATAATCAACTTAGTGCCAATTGGCACCATATCCACAACCGAAATACCTAACCCTGACCAACAAACAACATACAATATGTTTTCATCACAAGCTTTTCAAGAATATCTATGAGCAAATCTGAAAACATCACTGTACAAGCATACCCAGAACACAGACTCAAAACCCAAACCATACTATCACAACAACTAACACCTCTATTATACAAGCGCAATCATATTCAGTTACAGAGGCTGTACAAATCAAATTCAATAAATGACTTCCTGACTTTATTCAACAATACACCGACAACAAACACTGTACACATAGACTAAGAGGCCTTGGACCTTCTTAGCAAAGTCTAGATCGAAAGTAATTAGCTTTAGTCTCTAGTTCCCCATAACATTGTATTCAATTATGTCATATAAAAATTTGTATAATGATAATAAAGAAATAGGTCCAGGCCTCGCTTTTTTTTTTTAAAAAAAAAAAAAAATCTAAAATAGTAAAAATGGTAAAATCAAATATAATATATAAATAGTAACCAATTTTTTGGTAAATTATTATTAAAAAAAAAGATTTTTTATTTTCAAATTATAACTTTATGATATGTTAACAATTTCCGTATTTCCCTTTTTCTTCATTAATCCATTAATTAACCATAATTTCAACCATCAGTTCCATCATTACCTTCATTATTTTTATCACCTTTTAACACATCATTTTCTTTATCTTCTCTTTTTTTAAATAACTCATATGCTGAACAAAGACTCGTAAGACAAATCATAAAGATAGTTGTACATAGTGTAAGAAATGGAATGATACTATAAGTTACGATTGAGTTAAAATATAGAACCTATTTTAAATAAAATATTAAGAATATAAGAATTAATCAGAAAAAAAATAAACATTGCAAAATAAATCTATTATTATTACTTAACCTGAATAGCTAATTGTGGAATATTTTTAATAAAAGTATCAAGAAACGCCCTAACTTTAGTCGTGACATTAAAATTATCATTAAATATTGATATTTTGTTTATAATTGCTATAGTTTCACTGTTATACAATGCTAAAATAACTAATAAATAGTTTTTATAAGAAGAAGTAATGTCGATGTTTTGCATAGCTTGCATATTTTGCGCAATGAGTTTCTTGCAGATTATATAAATAAACATAACAATATTTACTACTATTGGAAAGATCAAGATGATTTTACTGTTTTCAGGTAAAAAAAAAAAAAAAAAAAGATTAAATTAAAATTTTAAAAATAGGTTCAATCATCAGTAAAAAAAATTGATAAGGCACCTTGGAAAACTGTATTCTGGTTTACTATTAACATCAGAAAAAGTAAATGTAGTTGAAAAGACCGAGTGAGAGAAAACGAATAATCCCCCTGAGAATACATTGGCCACCGTCTTTATATTGAATTTCTCAGCCTTTTCCATTATATTCTCGGCCATTTTCCCTACTTTGTTTCCTTTTTCTTCTAATTGTTTTGCTTCATTTTTATTCTGTCAATGAATGAAAGAAATTAATATTTTTTAATATTGAAGAAAAAACAAAACTTTTAATTACCTCAGTCTGGGACATGAAGAAGATCGCAGCGTTTACACCAGCAACCAAGGATAAAGGAATAATTGCTTTTCCATAATCACCCAATAAACCACCTTTTGTCTTAAAACCATAAGTTGGATCTAAATCATTTGTTAAACCATCAGAGAAAGTAGTGATACTCTTATATCTAATCATATTATCTAAATTCGATACGATCCCTGGAACAGTATTTTCTCTTTGTACTTGATCAGTTAAATTTATACGAATACTAAATTGAATATTTTTAATATTTTTATCATAACCAGAATAAACATATTGAAAATTTCCATCTGTAGTTAATCGACTACGTCGTACTGGTACTTTTTCAGAAATTTCATCTAATAAAGAATTAAAATATTTTGTTTTATCATCTTGAGAGAGTGCTTCAAATTTTGTTGTTGCAATTGTAGTAAATTGAGCTAAACCGACAGCAGCTTCCTCTGTAAAAAAAAATATATGATGAATTTTTTTAAATGTATAAAAATTTAAAGTTGCAATAATTCTTAAAAATATTTATTACCTGATGATTGCGCAGTATATGCTAAATTACATGACATGACAATCATAACGGAGAATTTTAGTTATTAATTATTAAAAAGAAAATTATAAGATAAAATGAATAAAATATATTACATGATTGATAATTCACAATTTCTTTATCAATTCCTGATAAGGGTTCACTCAAGTTTTTATCTTTAACAAAATTAGCATCCAATTGAATATAATATTTTTCACCAAATTCATTAAAAGTGCTTTCAATGACTTTTATATTAACGGTTAATCCATCTGAACTGATACTACATTGATCAGTCATTGTTGCCATAGTTCTTTGTCTCTCACTACCATTAGAAGCTTTGTATATGGTGATATTTCCCGTTGATAAAAGAACAGGCTCATAAAATGTAATTTTTAGAACGTTTGTTGATGAATCGACATAAGCATTATTAGGTGGGTTAATATTGCTTATTTGAATATTACCATAATTACTAGCTAAAAAAAAATAAAGAATTTATTATTACTAACATAATATATTAAAAATTATATTATTAATAACACAATATATTAAAAATTATATTATTATAGAAGTAGTTATAAAATTTACCACGGTTGAAAACTTTAGGGAGCTGAAAACTAAGTAAAGACCATTGAGCATTATTCGTATAAGGAGAAGCAAATAGAAAAGTATTATTATTCTTCATAATAGTAGTTACATCAAGGAAATTTGTATTAAGTAATAATGGAGAAGAAATTTGAATATCAGTTTCGTCATTATAAGAATAAATATAATGAATATTATTAGCAATATCAGTATTTTCTAATATATAACCACCAAATGGCATTGTTTTCATTTTCCAATTTTGCATGGACAGACCGGTTACGTTAGGGATATTTTTTATTAATTTGACATTTGTTACAGTTCCAGCAGTTAAAAAATGAATTTTTAAATAATATATTTCCGAATTGGTTGTGGCTGGATTAATTACGTTGGTACTAATTACACATAAATAACCAAGAACAGCATAATCACAATAAAGGCCATTATAGGTTATGTTGTCAAGTGTTACTTGATATAATTGAGCTTGACTAGGTGGAAATGTTAGATTGTAGGATATAAAGGTCGCATATAGTCCACCACTTTTGGCTAACAATGAGCTATCATCATTAGTAAAATTAGCATTCAATATAGCGTAACCACCATCAACGGTAGCTAACAGTGTAGTCTGTTGAGTGCTAGTAGCATCTAAAGTGATTGACATATTATCGCTTTTATCCAAAGAAAAATTTCCAGAATTACCACTATATGGTTATAATAATAATTGATTATTAAAGTATAAGTATAAATATAAATATAAATATCATAGAGATAGAGATGGTAAATTACATTGAATATTGTTGCCATACAGTCATTTGCGAGTCACCTATTCTGATGGCAGCCGCTCTAAGAAATCCATAATTTTTTAATACGTTTAACTGAATTTTACTATTTGGACTCCAAGTTTTGTTAAGACTAACATAAGATTGTCCATAACGTAATTTACTGGAGATTTTAATATTAAAAAATAAATTGATTTTAATAATAGTTTAATAATATTTTAATAATATATATATATATATATACTTTACAAAATATTTATGATATCAATTATTAACACACATACCTTAGACTGTTGCCACTCCAGTCAATGACCTGACCCCATTCTTCATAAGTTGTAGGATCAGAAGAATTTATAGCTACAATATAATTTACTAGAATAAACTGATCTCTTAAAGGATATATTGTAATAGGATTAACTATATTACCAAGAGTATTATTAAGTATACAAAAATTCACAGGATCAAAATTTAAATTGGATTGAGAATTAATTTCGATAACAGATCCATTTAATTGAATAACTCTTATCCGTAACATTGGTTCTAATTTCAATCCTGAACAATTGAAATTAGGAGTTGTTGCTGTTGATGTCGATATATTTCGAGCAACATGAACGAGGGTTGTCCCATCACCATAAGTTTGAATGTTTAGTACGAGAAAGTCACTGTAAGCGTATTTTCCTGAGATACTCTCAGTGTAGTTAAAGTAGTTAAACTGTGATGATGTTGATGATATGAATAAACAAAGGAATAACAAAATTATATAATGTGCTAAAGGATTATAAAGAAGACTGAATAATTTCATTGTGAGTTACTAGTTCTATACTTTTATGTCCAATTAATTGAATTATGTCATATTAAGAAAGATTTAAAGATTACCTTTGACCATCGTTTATAGTATCCCCTAAAAATAATACCCTAGAATTAAGATTTGGCCCATTTCTTGAATAAGAAGTTCATTGGGATAACTATATTTGGCATTATTCAATTTTAAAAAAATGAATAAAGTTCTCGAATAAAATACTGGTAACTGTCAACTGTATTTATTTTATTATAATAACATGAATTCATTGCTTTTTTTTTTGTTTGTTATACATATTTTATTTGAGGAATGATTTTCGTACATTGTTTTCGTGTAACATCACGTACATTACTATTTTTTCAGACGCCAATGATTTAATTGGATTTTATTGGTCAAAAAAACCCCGATATGCATTTGTGTAATTCAATTTTTGCATTGAATTTATCATTCATATGATTGACGCCATGTAAAACTATGTTCTTTGATTCTTTGAATATTTACTTTTTTAATCAAAATAAAACTTTATTAAGACGAATCAAATGGTATTAAAATAGTAGCATATTAAATCTGCATTAATAAAATGTATATGTAAATACATACTTTATTGAAATCGATAAACTGGATTTCTTTACGTATTAAGGTTCGCAAAAGGATGCAATTAAGATCATTTAGAATTACTAATATCTTCTGCTGTCATTAAAAAATTTACAAATAGAAATTTCTTGATCGATTTATCGATTTCAATAGAGTATTTAAAACCGGATAGACTTTTTTTATGGATGCATTTATGTACACACTTTTGATTAACGTTTTTTAAATAAGAATAGAGTTAGGGTAATTTAGATTAGGGTTAGGTTATGGTTAAAGGTGGTTTTTTTAATATAAATCAACTTCCCGATACTTTTATTAATGCTCCAAGGTAGGCTTAAACTGCAGTTTCTCTTTTTTTCGCTTGTTTCGACGGGCTGATCCGAGATGATCAAATTTGCGCAATTTAGATGTGTACATAGATGTACCCCTTTTTATATAGTATACTAAAGAATTTAGGAAGTGTTCGACATTATTTGGAAAATTGTACCACCTGGAAATCGAACAATTAATTTATAGAACAGATTATCTTACAGACAATTAGTTCACAGACATATACAGCTAGTAGATTGTTTATTTCATTAATAGCTTTGCATTGTTGGAGGATTAAGTGTGAAATGAACTGTACTGAATGCGAACCTTGTCAATGAATTAATTGTCTATGAACTGAAATAATAACATATACAACATAGAAATGACTCCCATGCGCGTCTCGAAATAATGAAAATACGGTACGTAATTAATCTTATAAGAAGTGATAATTTTAAAGTTTACGAAGTATGTACGCATGTACGTACTACATACGTACATTTCTATTTATTCTAATTCAGGAGAATAAAAAATCTGATTTTCTATCTGTACGCCATGATCTACAAAATAGTGAGTTTCTTTTTCAGTTTCTAAATTCGATACTTACCATTAGGGTTAAAATAAATAACAAGATAAAACTAAATAGACAAAATAAAAAAAAGCCCAACTTTCTGTATAACTATGTGAAGAAAGAGAATTCCATCTAATTGTGTAGAGATATAATAAGTAGTGCAATTTCTATAATTGCAAAGGTACGTATGATCTTTATTTTTAAAACTAAGTAACTTTTGAAATGAATAGCAAAAGAATAAGAAAATCGCAATTTTGTCTATGGTATCTTTTTAGAACATAAAAATATAAGTACTAAAGTATTTTAACATACATTAACATCAACTATTTCTATATTTTTCTTATCTAACAATAAGAGAAAATGTCGCGGTAATGTTACTGCTGGTGTTAATAATAATGATCAATTATTGGTAATTTTTTTTATAATTTATTGCTAAATCTGTTCATATCATGCAACATAAACCTCGAGAATAAAATTTATGTGAATCTGGTAAATAATTGCTATTTGTCGCCGGCGGTGACAGTCACCGGATTGCAATTGGCCAATCACATCATGGTATCAGATATAACGTTGTTTTCGTAAAATTTCACTATAGTGTATGCTCTACCCTAACACTGGCACTAACCGATAATTAATTTTGGCGTTTATTTTTATTCCATTGCACGATCTGGGTTGCAATTGCAATCTAGTGTCATGTCACCGCCAGCGACAACTAGATTATTTCAAATAATAATCAACTGATTAGTCTGCCTGCAATAGAGCTGGTGAAATTGGTGACCATTGTGAGTTAAGTGAATACTGCGACTCAATCGCTCCACAATTCACAATCTCAAGTAACTGACGATAGGTAACCTTACGAAAAGGTGTGTTAGATTTTGCTGGTGGGTGATTAAGGCTTCGGTTACTTGGGTCAGCAAAGTAAGGCATGTTAAATCACGTGATAAAGAACTTAAGCGAATAACGATTTTTATGGCATTTACGGGGTTTATAATCGTAATAGTAATAGTTTAATATTATGGGTGATTTATAAAATTGGGACTTGTTATTTAATACAACAAACGAGACTTAATTCTCTCAAGGGCCGTTTCGGCCTTTATTTATAATATGAATTTTCGCCCCTTACAAATACCTTATTATATATATTATAATACTCAATAAAACTATATGCTCCTATTATCTTTAAGAATTTCTAATTTCTGTCATGAAAACCTTCAGCATCCCGCATGCCTTTCCGCATCCAAAATACTTCCTCGCTCCATAATACAATAAATCATGTATTTTTCACGTGACTGATCATGTTCTGGAGCTCACACTATCTAAAGCCTGATTGGCTATTTTAGTAAATGTATTACGCAGTTAAATTTTAATTTACTGTTAATGCATAATCAATTTGTCATAATTTTATGGTTCTTTAAAAACGTAAATTATATTTAATTGTATATGTTGTAAGTGAAAGTGGAATTTTAGTAGAATTAGAAGTTAGTGTGTAGTGTAGGTTTATATAAAATAAATTCTCTAATTTTGTCAAATTCCAAATCCGCTTAAATTCCGTTGCATTTACAATATATATGCCACGACTTTGACCGAAATTAATTATATATTTTTATTTTCTATATAAATCTTATTGTATTAATTTGTAAAATAGTTATGGCGCAAGGATTTTGCAGTCCCGTAATTTTCATCCAATCTGATTGTAAGATCAATGTGTAATACGAATAAAGACACGAAATCCGAATAAAGGTGAAAAAAAAACAAGAAATCGCAATAAACTCATGAACTCATCGATATCGTTTCTACTGTTAGATCCAATAACGTGATAGAAATTGGATGCCGGGACCCACGTGATAGCGGTTACGACGATCAATTCCTCGATT